TATCAGGTGATCTGTCTGCTCGTTTACCGGCTTATCTATGCCATAAAAAAAACCTATTTTGATGGGTGTGTGTGTATGGGGTGCAGAAAAGAGGGGGTTGAACTTAGGTTTCGTAAACGTAGTGTATAAAAGAGTTATTGTCTTTGTATATCCAAGAGACTAGACACAACAATTGCTTATTTTCTGACTTTTCTTGACTATGAATCATATTTAGATTCTAATACTTAACTTTAAGTAACTTATTGCTTAACTTCACACGTCTTCCAACTATCTCATTTATGTCTTCGCCGGACTTATAACTTGGACAAATTTAAAAAAAAGTTGGGGCTTTAGGATTTTCTCCTGTGTCGTGAGGTCGTGAGTGCGTTTACAAACATACAAGTTTACATACACATGACACCCAGACCCGGAACAACAATTTGTGGATCACACAAAGAATTGTTCTGTGCGGGGATCAAAACCACGACAAGCTGGTGCAGTCCCTCTAAAACAAATTGTTGACGCTCTATGGTGTATAGAAATAAGTATTCCTATTGAAAAGTCTTGTCCTGTGTTTCATAGAATAACAACGACGTACCTCTTTGAACAATAAAATTAATATTAGGTAATATTAAATAACCTTTACCTCTCCTTTCGGACTAAAACACGCGATGTATTATTCCAACTAAAAACCACTACACAAACACTTCCTTATCATAACACCATAACAATTTAACTCCCACTAAAATCACACATACAAACAAAATTTATCACTGACAGCACTCTAACTAAAAGACCTCTGCTTACCCCCGAAAGTTTAGCCAGCTTCTATTAATCAAAGTCATGGCCATATTACTAATAACGTAACGTTATCGACGCGTGTGCGTGTCCTGAACAGATAACAGCCTGTATAATTTACTACAATAGCACCCTGTATAATTATATAGGGATGTGTCATAATTAAGCTCTATAAGGTTTTAAACAGTTTATCGTCTGAGTTATTGTTCATGTGATAATCGGTTTTATTGTTATTGCCTCAGAGTTTGGTTTTAAACGAATTTGTTGGTTTATTGTGTAGGTGTTAGTATAATGACTGAGGATGACAGTTCCGGGTTTATTATTTCAATCAGGTCCTTACCTGATCTGGATAACGAACCTTCAACTTTTACATTTACACATATACTAGCTTTGTGATTTTTGGAGTTTATAGATAGCTAGGGGAAAGTCCCGTAACACCGGACGGCACCTAACGCCGGACATTTGTATTATCTCGATAACTGATAACACGAGCGATTCAATTTTGACTAAAAATCTTAGGTGTCTGCCAATGCAAGACTTCCCTCTAAAAATTGAATCGCTCGCGTTATTAGTTATCGAGATAATACAAGTGTTTGGCGTTAGGTACGGTCAGACGTTAAGGGCCTACCCCTATAGGTCTTGAAATTGTTTCAGGTCTAGTATAAAATATCACAAGATAAATACCTCATTTACCTTAACCTTCAATTACTTAAGCAAAGTATTCTATCAAATAACAAAGAAAAGTATTCTACAGGTCTTAAAACCGTCATCAAATCCTACTTGGACTGCCACAACAAATAACTACATACAAGATAGATATCCTAAAATTCCCCCATAAAGTAAGAATAGTGCGTCCATCTGAATTCTATGGTTTCGATGGTATTCTCGTAAAATATACGCTTTGTGCCACTATAAAATATAGATCGCTCATTACCATGGCTGGGTAACAAGGTAGTGTTGATATATTGCTTATATCGATAACTCTACTAGCAACCCGCCCCGGCTTCACACGGGTGCAATATGCATGCATTATACATATAAACCTTCCTTAAGAATCACTCCTTCTATAAAAAAACCAATAGCAGTGCCATCTTTTGATTACTTACTCAACCCAGTCGAAAGGTATCGACATCTGTTAGAATCATTTGGAGTTAACAGATAATTGTGACTGTCAAATAATAACAGACAAATAATTAGCAATAAATTAAAATAGCGACTATAATTTGAGACTTAAACTATCCTATCTCTCAAGTTGGATCGAACTACACATGGTGTGCGAATTTTATTTTAATCGATTAAGTGGTTTAGGAGTCCATTGATGACAAACATTGTGACACGAGATTGATATATATTAAGACTAGCGGACCCGTCAGGCGTTGTCCTGCATATCCAATTGAATGTATAAACAAAAATTCATTCAAATTAGTTCAGCCGTTTAGGATAACTAACCCAGATACCGACTGCAGTGCCATCTGCCGGGCTGATTTGTAAATCGAAGCCATGCAGGGCACCACTCAAACGCGTACAGAAAAATTCATTTAAATCGGTCAAGCAGTTTTGGAGGAGTTCATTGACATACACACGTACAGCAGAATTATATGTATAAAGATAAATAGATAATTTTTATATAAACGTAGAAAACATTTTCTCGATAAATTCGTTAAAAAATATCGATAGCGTAACATCACTAGAAAAGCTAACAAGCTACATATTCCCATATGCTCAGGAATCGTTCATAAAATCCTGCCGTTTATTTGCTTTACCATGAGAAACTCGTACATATTCTGACTCCTTACATTATGTAACATGGCCCCTTCATTATTTTTTATTTTTCCTTTTTAACTTTATTTTCTTTTGCAATCAGCAGATCACTTGATACAACATTCAATGAGATACGAAATGTATTTGATATTTTTAAAATAGATTATCAGGATAAAGTTTTATAGACTGACATTTTAGTTCAGTCTAATTAGTTTTTCTAGTCTGATTAATGTTTTACCCTGTAGGATATAGTTAGTTGTCGTCAATGTAACGATGTCCCAGCATGAAATATTTATCAAGTTCATCCTCAATTTGCACAAAACATTATGTAGCATTAAACCTGCAAGCTAGAAACATGTCTGATATGTATTTCGTCTGCTTTGCCTATTGAAACACAAAAATCCAAAGTTTTACCCACTTTTACATACCTGCACGAGGTAAGTAAAACTGTACTCAGATCACACGAACCACAAAGGTTCATGTGAGCTGCGCGACGTCGCCGCGACCGCACACGCTGCTCATGAGGAAGAACCCCTCTGTGGTTCGAAACTAGTAGAGCTTTTCTCAGTATATTCACGTGAGTAACCCGCGATTTTAGTTAATTTTGATAGTTATACCACTTACCACGTACCCACATGCCTGCCCAAAGGATGACTGGCGGAGAATACTATTAGCATCAAGTCCTCCTTATGCAATTGTGTATAACTTAAATAAATAAATAAATGATGTTTTATTTACTTCATGATTCCATTTGCAGAAGATAATTAAAATCAATACTCAATGAGTTTGTGCACGACGGCAATACTAGGTCGCAAGCCGCCCGCGACGTGTTCCGAACGTGTCCGAACCATGACGAAAGGGCAAGTTCAGACACGAACATCAAAGGCGCGCGGCGGCGATCCTTTGTTCCGCGCCGCCGCTGCTTGGTTTGAACTTGCCTTTGAGCATGTACAAACATGACTCAACGTCGCAGAGCGGCCGAGTCGCGTGCCCCGATCAACAGGAATTATCCTGTCCGCGCGCCTCGCATATAAAAGGACTGTACCCGGCGAGGCGCATCAGTTGTCAATGAGTTGTCAATGAGTAGTGAATGAGTTATCAATGTATTGTCAGTGTATGTAGTCGTTATGTAAAAAGTCGATCATAGCCAGTCGATCGTATTATTGTCAATTTCATCTCCACTAGTGTTGTTAACATTATCATCGTAATAAAGTATATCAGTGTACAAGAGTTCTCCAGTTTTCATTCTACAGTCCATTTGCTCTCCAAAGGACCCAAGCTCGTCGAGGACTGATCCACAGCCTGATCCCTCCGAGCCCGTACATTTTCTGGTCCTTCGAAGCCGAATAAAGTTCTAGCAAGATGGTGTTAACACGCAGCCGTAGTGGAGAATCCAGGACAGAGCAGACCCAGCAAGAGCCTTCAGTGACCGCCGGACCGGGTGCCAGCAGCTCGGCACCAGAATCGAGCTCGGTCCGAGTGATGGACACAGGAAGCGGGTCTACGACTACCAACATCGACGCAACGTATGATACACTCAAGCCCAGCGATACAAAGTCACGCCGTTCAACATACTCGAAGAAAAAGCGCCTCGCAGAGCTGGAGGCTAGAAAACGCCTGGCCGAGATGGAAGTCAGACAAGCGCAAGTAGAGCTGGAGGCCAAAAAACGGCTGGCTGAGAGGCAAGTTAAGTTGCAAGAACTAGAGCTCCAATGCATCACAGCCGAAGCCGAGTCGAGTGACGACGAGGAGTTGGTGGACGACCTCGCCTCCGTGAGGATTGGAACGTGGCTAGCGCGACCCGCGCCGCCACCCGGAGGCAAGACTCGGCCGCCGCCACACGACGCCGGCGGGAGCATCAGCAGGGACGCAGCCCACGCAGCGGCAACGACGGCGAGCGGCGCCCCGGCGGGCGCGCAACCGCCGCGAGATGACAACGGCTATGGAAAAGTGTGTGAAAGTGCGTGTGCGAAATCAAAGGGCAATATCGCGAGTGAAGTGTCACACGGTAACGTGAGTGATAAAGTGATAGACGTAGGAACACTCGCCGCGGCACTAGCGCAGGTTACGCGCAGTTCGAGAGAGCCCCCGAAGTACATGCAGCGGCTACCAGTCTTCGACGGAAAACCCGGTGAGTGGATAGCTTATAAGGCCACGTATTGTGACTCACACACGTACTTTTCTAGCGTAGAAAATGTTGCTAGGATTAGGATAAGCCTCAGAGGCGCCGCAAAGGAAGCTGTAGGGAGCCTATTATTTAGTCAATCTGACCCAGGTCATTCTAGACGCACTAGAAAGACGTTTTGGTAGGCCTGAGGCTTTGATAATGACAGAATTAGATAATGTAAAGTTATTACCTAGATTAAATGATAACCCTAGGGATATTTGTATATTTGCTAGCCGTATTGCAAACACGGGTACGGTAGAAGCACTAATAGAATCAGTATTTACATAGTCCCGAAATGTCGCGTAATATCATAGAAAAGTTAACGCCAATATTAAGAAATAAATGGTATGATTACGCGGCTAATAGAAAGTACGAAGACACTCCCGTATTGAAGCTCTTATCTATGTTCATGAATGAAGAGGCTGACAAGTGTAGCGCGTACGCACAGCCGGAGCGTGTTAGTGATAACGCCATTGATGTACGACGACGGCGCAGAGTTGAGCGCACGTTCGTCGTGAGTAAGAAAACATCAAGTGAGCTTTGCCCGGCATGCAAACAACACGGCCACAAGTTACCAGACTGCAATAAATATAAGCAGCTAGACATAGATACTAGGTGGAATATAGCAAAATATAATAAGATGTGTTTTAGATGTTTACAAAATAAACATAGAAGATATATGTGCAAAGCGCCTATTTGTGATGTCAAGGAATGCAACATGAAACATCACAAACTGTTGCACAAAGAGCGTGATGACAAAACGACACACAACAGACCGCCGCACGCGCCGCCATCAATGACGCCCGTTACCGCACACGAATCCGTGACGTCAGCGCGCGAGACACAAGTGACTTCGCCTCGGAATCGCCGCGCGTACTTGAAGATAGTTCCTGTGACGTTACGCGGACCACGTACGAGTATAGACACATACGCCTTGTTAGACGATGGGAGTACAGTCACCTTGTTAGACGCGACAGTGGCAGACATCCTAGGTGCAGATGGGCCAGCTAGTCCTATGCAAATACAAGGCCTAGGTACAGAAGTCAAGCATGAGCAAAGCCGCACTGTTAGTCTCTACATACAAGGCAAGTACCATAGCGTCCAGCAGAAGATAGAGGCAGCGCGCACCGTAAACAGGTTGGAAGTCATGGCGCAGACTGTACAAACAGAAGACATAAACAATTGTAGGCATTTAAACGATATAAGAAGCACTCTTGTTCACGACCGCGCGCGACCGATGATTTTAATAGGTCAAGATAACTGGCATTTATTAGTAGCCACGAAAACACGTACAGGTGCGCGCGATCAACCGGTAGCATCTTTCACGAAACTCGGTTGGGTATTACATGGATGTAGTTATAAATCAGTACACAAAAACATCGATACATTTTGCGGCCACATTACCATTAAAGAAGATGTAGAACCAGTTGAAGAAACCACGAGAACCTTCAAATTAGAATCAATATATTGTATAGAACCTAAGATACCTAAAGATGACCCGCAAAAGCAAGACCTAGGTATCCTAGGCCAGAAGAGTCAACGATCGCCCGATGACAGCATCGCGACCGGACCATTGAGGAAACCAGAAGCATCTATAGTACCTAATAACCACCTAGGTACCCTAGATCTAGATCGGTGCCTAGATAAGGACGAAAAACGCATCAAATGTCAAGTGAACCACGTAAAAGTAAATAGTCCAGATAAGTACATACCTACACTTGCTGCTTACGCTCAACGCGCCAAAGAACAAAAGGACAAGGACTTGCCGGCCGAAACCTTATCAAAGGGAACCGCCGCCATACAGGATAAAAAAGCGGCCGGCAACGGCTCGTTATCAGTGCTAAGTACATGTGGCGCAAGCGCACGTGTTTTACGTTTGCGCGGGAAAATCACAGCGGTGGCAAACATAAATGCAGAATCAAAACACCCTGTTTTATTCAAAAATAAATACAGGTACAAGAAGTTAGGTATTACGTATTTGCATAAACAGTTACACAATAGCGGGAACAACATAGGACAGCCTCATAGGATTAAATTTGTAGCTATTAGGCACAAAGACGAATGTGTAGAATATAGATCGATATACAATATGCATAGGAATAGATTATAGGTTTAGGTATAGGCAGTTTATAGGTATAAGTATAGGTATAGGTTAGTTTGTAGATAGATTAGTCTCGCTACCTATTTCAAAGCGGCAGATAGGGACCTAGGTATAAGTGCCTTAAGCGCTTTAGGAGTGAGTCCAATGCGCGGTCTATAAGCTGGAAGCTTATACCACCGGTGTCGCCGTTTTGGCAAAGATGGGTACGTGAATACCAACCAGTCCCTCAAGACCGGCGGGAGCCATACGGCAGCGGCACCCCACCCAAGGTTGGAGGCGTCATCGTGATCTCCGACCCTTACCTCCCACGCAAGTTGGTTCAGAGGAAGGGTGATACAGGTGCTGCCAGACACAGATGAAGAGGTACGAGTAGACATCAGGAACAGACGACTCGTACTCCGAAGACCGGCGAAGCGCATTGTCGTGCTCACCAAGGAGTCGCCTGATGGCGACGGCGGGAGAAATGTGCACGACGGCAATACTAGGTCGCAAGCCGCCCGCGACGTGTTCCGAACGTGTCCGAACCATGACGAAAGGGCAAGTTCAGACACGAACATCAAAGGCGCGCGGCGGCGATCCTTTGTTCCGCGCCGCCGCTGCTTGGTTTGAACTTGCCTTTGAGCATGTACAAACATGACTCAACGTCGCAGAGCGGCCGAGTCGCGTGCCCCGATCAACAGGAATTATCCTGTCCGCGCGCCTCGCATATAAAAGGACTGTACCCGGCGAGGCGCATCAGTTGTCAATGAGTTGTCAATGAGTAGTCAATGAGTTATCAATGTATTGTCAGTGTATGTAGTCGTTATGTAAAAAGTCGATCATAGCCAGTCGATCGTATTATTGTCAATTTCATCTCCACTAGTGTTGTTAACATTATCATCGTAATAAAGTATATCAGTGTACAAGAGTTCTCCAGTTTTCATTCTACAGTCCATTTGCTCTCCAAAGGACCCAAGCTCGTCGAGGACTGATCCACAGCCTGATCCCTCCGAGCCCGTACAGAGTTATCTCCCTCCAATGATTTGTTATCGCTCGCTGCAATCGCTCTTAGACTATTATGTAATAGTACACAATAAACATACCTAGCCTATATACAATTCATACCTGTGTCGTCTTAAGTCTTAGGAATAAGGTTCAGAGTTGGTTATCATTTGAAAATAGCATTTTATTGCAGCATTTGTATGAAAAAAGAATACTATGATTGTAGAGTATTATTAGTACCGAGATGAGAAATTTGTGCTTTTTGTGTTCTAAATTCTCAGTTTAAACACGTAATTGTAAAACACGTCTAATTTCTTCTCATCTTATTTGGCTTAGCTTGAAGTTGACACTGATTTAGTTCATTCCAGTCCAAAATTATCTAATATAGTGTTACTAAATAAATAAACATCATCCTTCTAAGATGCTTCATACTAAAATCTCCATCTATCGAAGAGGTCAATGCCTTTGATATGTAGTGACCTTTGTCCCTTGGACGTATCGGCAGGGCTATTAATTAAAGATATTCGTGTCACAGAATCAGTATGCATAAATAAATTGTATGCATTTTGAAGTTTACTGAGATAATAATTATGACGAATAGTTGATATAGCGCCTATGAAATTTAAAGAAGAAGGTTTGAGCGTTAATCACCACGCTTGCTCAATGCGGGTTAGCGATTTCAAACTTATAATTAGAAATTATAAGCCCAGGTTTCCTCACGATTATTTTCCTCCACCGTTTGTCAGTGGTATCTAAATAACGTCAGAAAGTATACACTCGTACACGCAGTAACTCGGAAAAAGTCACATTGGTACTCACCGTTGATAGGTTTCGAGCCCGCACCCTAGTGCATGAAACGGTTAAACCTCTTAAACCTTCAGGCTACCACGACCACTTTGTTAAATGGTAGTAGTAGTAGTAGTACAAATACTACAAAGCATCACCTAGTACCAATGGTTCCTATGATCCTCATTGTGTTCAGCTCATAGTATAACGTATATATACATCTGGAAACACCCAGCTTAACCTCTGGCCTGTCAGGAAGTAAGTCTTTTACTATATATCTCCTAAAAGACTAGAAAATTAATTACCAGTACTTCTCACTTAACCTATTTTAGAAGTATGTCCAATAACAAAGTTTTTATTTATTTATTTATTTATTTATTTGTTTATTGATTAACACGGTAGACACCAATTACATTAATCAAATTAAATTACAAAAAATATAAAAAAAAAGAAAACTAAATCAAAGTACATTAAAAAGGTGTTAAAAGAAAATGAGAAAATATAGTAAAATTACAAAACAGATAAAGTTGGACACAAAAAAAAAAATAATTTATATGTATGTATAGACTCAACATCTAAAATCCAAAACAAAACAAACTATAACTCTATAACACAAGAAAGTTCCTGTTATCTGTTACACGTGGCGAGCCATCGGTCTATTGTGCTTGCCCGTAAGATAATCTCTGGTCCCTTCATTGTTACCGAAGATTGCACATTGGATAACCAGCATTGTACACCGATACATTGTCCCTACTGATTTTGGAGATTCCCAATTATTGGTGTTTCGTGGTTTGAATTTGTTGTTGGTGATCATGAGTTTTAGTAGGAGAATCCTGTTGCAATTCTTAGACAATTGGGATGATGACAGGGTATGAAAATTAAAAATATAATTAGTCCGTAAGTTAGGTAATGAAAAAATATTAGACACGTATTTTTTTTATTTTGTCGTATAATAAAACAATACTTAGATAAAACAAATCAAAGTTTAGGAGTGGGGACTAAAACGTCATTTCTACGTTTGAAATGTACATAGAAGTAACGTCACGCGGCATTTCACATCAATATATCGTCGAAAGTATTACTTTCTGTAAGAAAATCAAAAATACGTGTCTAATGATTTAAAATAATCTACCAGACGGACATTAAAATAAAAATTAGGCATCTAACCTTTTGCATTGGAGTGGATATACTAAGTGGGGTTGCAAATTAAATCTGAATTGCTGAATCTGGTAGGTAACTAAACATGAAATTAATATCTAGCTTCAAAGTAGAAATGAAAAAGTCAATTATCATTAATATACGTCTTTTAGAAACTCCAACACGGTACCTACAAAGTTTTAAGAAGAAAATGTTCGTAGTAACGCAATATTTAATTTTACATTATTATCATCCAAAACATAGATGCAGGATGGATACATGTCGCTTCCAACCGGCTTGTCTGAAAGTCATTGGGGCGTCCTGTTTAGCAGTGGATGTCCTATGGCTGTTGGATGATGATGATGGTCAAAAATGAAAACGAATCCAAAATCTTCTCTAGGATAAAGGTTAACGTCCAACTTCTATAACCTATCTATCTGTGGATTTGCTTACTAGAGATAGAATTTTGACATGAGCTCCATACAAAATGTGTCAAAATTATATACCTCTAGTAAGAAATTAAACCCATTGGAAACACAAAGTTCCTCTTGTACCATTTGAATAAAAATTCCAATGATCCCGGAATCCATTAACCAGCTATTTTACACGTAAAGTGAATAAATTGAATGATTACCACTTCCTTTTGTTTATTAGAACGTGTTTGTTTGTCTGTCATTATACACTATCTTATGAGTCTATAGGAAGTAATATGGTGTCTTTAGAAACCTTAAAAACGAACTGTTGTTCCTGGACTAAGGACTGCCAAGTGGTCGCAAGTGCAACTGCCGGGCAACGGGTCTCGGGTTCGATTCCCGGGTCGGGCAAAATTCAGCTGGAGTGTTAGAAAAAAAATTTCGGCAGTAGCATGGAGTCTGGAACTATATATATGGTATATGACAATAGGCTCACCCCCTATTACATGGGATGCATAACATATATAGTGAAAAGTGGGTGTTACATTGTACAGTCGCATTAAGTGCCGTAATGTGCACCTTTGCCTTCGGGGATAAAGGAATTAGATTTAATGTACATTAATTTGAAAAAACAAAATATTAGAACGAGAAGAATGGGTTTTTGTCTTATTTTCTTTAAACGAATTTCATTTCAAATCGTGAACTGAAAAAGAAATCCTCGAAGAACATTGAAGTGGGTTATAGCTCAGAAGAGAGCTATAGTACATTTTTAAATAAACAAAGATTATGTTCCGCCCTGTACGAAACTAATGGCTAAAGAGGTTAATAGAAATATTTAAATTAATGTTCACCATTCAGAATTGTCGCTTAATTAAGATATAGAGGTATTTTTATACCTATGTTGACCAGTGTTATTATGAATAAAAAAAATTTGTTATAGAACAAAAAAACATTAGTTACTGCAAACATTGGAATAACCAGTTTAAATAATAATTGCAGTTCCATAAACAACATAGTAATACAATTTATTTGTATGCAACATGTATTTTAATAAAATGACATTAATAATTTTCCTCTTACTATAAATAATTCTGAAGTAGGTAACTGTTATCAGAATTAAAAAATAACATGACATCACACCTTTTATCCCCGAGGGGGTAGGGAGAGGTATACATTATGCCACTGAACAATGTAACACCCACTTTTCACTATTTATGTTATGAGTCCCACGTAATAGGGGTGAGCCTATTGCCAAACTCCGTGCTACTACTGAGAATTTATAAATAACTCAGAAATACTTTGCCCGACCCGGGAATCGAACCCGAGACCCCTTGCCCGGCAGTCGCATTTGCGACCACTCGGCCAACGAAGCAGTCATCAGAATTAAAACTAATATTAAAATCAAAATACATTTACAATAAAACGGGGTGAATATAATTCGAAGGGTGAATAGATACAGAAGCGGGGTGAATGAATATTGAGAAAAAGTTCTAATATTTGCCTATTCACCCCATTCCTATATCTATTCACCTTTTGAAATCCATTCACCCCGTTTTACGGTACCTAAAACATAAAAATAGCATTTATTTTAATACAAAGAAATGCTAAAGTAAATATTAGAATATGTACTCAAATACTTTTAATATTAATCACAGCTCTATTACTACTGTTTTATTCATACAAAACAGATGCTAAATATACCGTAAAGTAATCAAATATCGCGCGATGTTAAAAATAAATACAACAATTACGTCATTTATAGACTAACCGACTCTTATCAAGTATTTAGGACATTAATTCATTGACCCTTTCCTCCTTTCCCAACCATTGACATTATCATTTAAATCACAATTAAAGTTTGAAATACATTAAAAACTACAAGAGACAAATTAAAAAGCCCTTTATAATAATTTGACGCAACTAACTAAATATATCTATCTCTGTTGAACATAATGAAATCACTACAGCCAAACATGTTTTATTCCTTTCGCACTATCAGAATATTAACTGTGTGTAGCAACACTCTTTAGCCGGTTTTTCATGTTTATTTTTGATTCAAACGCATACAAGTTTAGACATCTGCCCGTACCGCTCGTCCAGTAAAAAATAAACAATTCACTCGCAAAAATGGCTACGTAAAGAGTAATAATACGCATGCGTGCGGTCTGTCAAAAATACTTCTATCAAAACGTGTGTCATCGTCTTTACGTGTTTTTATTTGGTAGAAAATAGTATTTTTTGTAAATATTAAATAAGTAATTGGAGTGATAATTTTATTGTAAAGTGTTCGATATAAGACTGATAAATTAAATCCTGTAAAAATGTCGAAAGATGTGTCGGTCGTTGGTTTAGACGCGATCCTCCGGGAGTTGGGTGCTTTTGGGAGGTATAATATTATGAACTATGCGTTAATTTTGTTTCCGTGCTACTTGGCGGGAATGTACGCGGCAATATATATATTTGAAGCCGGAGACATTAATTACAGGTATGTTTTTTGTGTATTTTCTTTCATATTTTGACTGAAACCACTTGGAAATTTGTTTGGAAATTAAACCTTATAAAGTGCTTTACCTTGTATCATCGACAAATGTTAAAAATATCATGTATTTTGTTATGAATCGGCGTGTTTTATATTTGGGGTTATATTACTTTCGATTTTGACAATCACGCCACCCTCCTACCGGTTTGCGCATGCGTAGCAGGTCTGTGACACAGTTTTGGGGTCCCTCAGGCTAATTGGTTCACCTTCGATCCGCGTACCGCATTTTATCAATATTTTTCCTTCGGCTGTTTCTTCCTTGTTATTATATTTTTTTTTATATGTAGTACAGTTTATAAAAATAGAAGCAACTTGACCAGTTATAAATTAAAAAGGTTTTGAAGGATGTACAAAATAATAGTTCACAGTTTGTCACAGAATTATCGAGAAAAAGTAACAAACAAAACTATATTTTATATATTTTTTTAATTTAATCGTACGTTCGATTCTTATAGCGAAGTTTTAGTTTTATTTATTTGAAGTTTACCATTAAAAACTTCCTACAGTTGAGTAAAAATACGAGTCGAAGCTAGAGAAACCCGTGACGTGATCATAATCATAAACTTATACTGTTATAAAAAGCTGAAGAATTTGTTTGTTTGTTTGTTTGTATGGTTGTTTGAACGCGCTAATCTTAGGAACTACTGTTCCGATTAGGAAAATTATTTTTGTGTTGGATAGTCCATTTATTGAGGTAGGCTATAGGCTATAAAACATCACCCTACAATCAATAAGAGCCGAGCAGAGCGGGTAGTAGCTAGTTTAGAAATAAAAGTGTTTATTTTTGAACCATGATTCACCCTTTCGTCACATTTGACCTACCCTATCATTCGATAAGTACTCGTATCACAAATCACGATCAATTACACAATTTAGATAAAGATATCTGTTATCTAAATATTGAACGATTGGATAAAAGTTTCAAGTATATTGGCTTGTTGAACCCTGAAACCTTCAAGACCTTCATGAAGGAGTTTCAGTTGACATTGCAGATACGATCTCTTTTAATATGACCTGAAAAGTACTGAAATGTTTGCATCACAAATATCTATAAATAGGCATTGTTTTGCAATATTTGAAGGTCAATGAGTTGAGATTTATACAAAACTATTAATATTTTGGACTGCCTCGTTGGCCTAGTGGTCGCAAGTGCTACCGAGTAAAGAGTCTCGGGTTCGATTCTCGGGTCAGGAAAGTATTACTGGGTTTTTAGCTCTGGAATTGTGCCCGGTATATGGCAATAGGCTTACCCCCTATTACATGGGACTCATAACATAAATAGTGGAAAGTTGGTGTTACATTGTACTGTGGCATAATTGTGCACCTCTGCCTACTCCTTCGGGGATAAAAGGCATGATGATAATATGTTTGTGCTTCTTAATGAAGGCACATGGCATATTTTCACCAGCACTATTAACTAACTAAGGGATGTGTATCATTGAAAGATTTGCTAAAAACTGGGCAGTACCTGATGTTCTTTGAACTTTTTAAACTGTAATCTTAAACCTGCCTGCCATACGTGGTGATTTGGGTAAGCTCCTTTATGTAGAAGAGGTTTTTAACGGGTTGCCAGAGATCCGGCTCGAAGAGCAAGAGTAGGAACAGGGTGGTTTTAATCAGTAAGAGTCTGACACTCTCTCGCCTTCGCCTCACCCGGGTGGGAGAAGTCATTGGATGATTTTCCCCACTCAAAAAAGCACAGCAGTCGTCAACGGTTTTTACTTTTTTTAATGATGATCATGATACGATGACGAAACTTTCATTTAACTAAGCAGAGTTTTATTTATAATTTACTAGTGATCCATCTCGGCTTTGCACGGGAGTAATATGCACGTATTATATATATAAACCTTCCTTAAGAATCACTCCATCTATTAAAAAACCGCATCAAAATCCGTGGTGTAGTTTTAAAGATCTAAGCATAGGTTCATAGGGACAGACAGACGGTGGATACCGACTTTGTTTTATACTATGTAGTGATTATTCTAGTGCTATGTGTTGGCCTAGCTTGGGTATTCCTAATTTGAATTCTGTTTAATCAGTCATTTATAATCTACAAGTGGTTTAAGATACAACTATGCTACTTTATTATGCATGCCACATGCTACATAAGCATGATATGCCTCTATTACATAATATTACTCTGTAGACATATGTCTGATAGTATAGTTGGTTTATTTTATCACCTATATGTTATCATTGTTGCGATACTTGTGGTGATCATTCTTTGAACACGACACGCCCACGAAACGCATGGCGAACGCGTGTTTTACGGACAAAATAAATGTTGCAACTTTATGTATGGTGTGGAGCTTTCTGTGGTAATTTTGTTGATAGAGATGGTTATTAAAATACCGAATAGCATACATACAATAACGCCTTTTGATTTCCGTAGGGATAGACAAACAAGCCTATAATTATTCGAACGGTAAGTAAATCTTATTCTTTTTTCTATTAAACGTTGCCCCACACTAGGATTTTCTCCTGTGTCGTGAGTGCGTTTACAAACATATAAGTTCACATACACATGACACCCAGACCCGGAACAACAATCTGTGGATCACACAAAGAGTTGTTCTGTATGGGAATCGAACCTGCGACACGTTACACGGCAGCCAGTTGCTCAACGACCGCGTCAATCGTGCGTGTCGTCAATTTTCACCTGTTATTATAACATAACGTCACGCCTTTTATCCCCGAAGGGTTAGGTAGAGGTGCACAATATGCCATTGTACAATGTAACACCCACTTTTCACTATTTATGTTATGGGTGAGCCTATTGCCATATATCGGGCACAATTCCAGACTCCGTGCTATTACTGAGGATTTTTAAAAAACCCAATAATATTTTGGTCGACTCGGGAATCGAACCCGAGACCCCTTGCCCGGCAGTCGACCTTGCTACCACTCGGCCAACGAGGCAGTCGTATTATGTATTTTTTTTATTTTCAAATAGTCACAACGGGAGTATTCCCTATTACAGTAACTGACTGTTATGAGTCTCACGAAATGGGGGGCAAAACTTCTCATCACACCAATCACGATCCTGGAATCCATATAACTGGAAATTTTGAGTGAGGTTACCGGAGGCCCAATTACCCCGCCCCCCCTTTCCTCAATCCTCAAATTCCTAATCCCAAAAGGCCGGTAACGCAATTGTAACGCCTCTGGAGTTCCAGGTGTCCATGGTGTTCCTGGGCGACGCCGTTTGCTTACCATGAGGTGATGCGTCTGATCTTTTACCGGCTTATCCCATAAAAAAACTCACTCGACAGTTTCTCTCGCCACCATTCAACCATCAAAACGCCTTCCCGTTAGCAACTAATAGTTTTCATTATCTTCTTCATCATCGTAGCAACAACCATATGTGTCATAAGGACTGAAACAATTGATTGCGCGATCATTAAATAATGGATATTTACATTACTGTCATATCAATGACCGATTAAATATTCTTTATATCACTATCGTCAAACAATTTAGTCAAATATAAACATTGTAGATGTTGTTAATTTTTGATAACGTCTTTTGAAAGAAAGCAAAGTTTTCTCTACTTATTTTGGGTTTTTTGGAAGACATAAAAGCATTACGTATTACCGCTACATGGGTATAGTTGTTGTTGCCAGTTATGTTGTTATTAGTTTTGCACGTGAGAGCCATGCTTAGGCACGAATGGGTGGCTCGACCGGAGTGAAACCACGGCCTCACAAAAAACCGACGTGAAGCAACGCTGGCGTTGTATTTCGTCATATGAGTGAGGTTGCCAGCGGCCCAATTACCCCCTTCAAAAACTGCCATGCGATGCAATGCGAATACGCAACGCAAAAAATTACGATGCGAATTGCTGCGATGCGGTTTCGTGCGACAAGGCGTCTCCCAGGGTGACCATTCCTTCGACAACCGTCAACCGTACTAAACGTATTTTAAATTGAAAACTCGGTCGTGACATGGATTGTAAAAAGAAGTGTGCACTTCCGTTATTGCTTAGGAGATACAGGAAAAAGAAACAAAGAAGATTTTAAGAAGGAAGATGAAATTTTGAAGCGCGATGCGAATCAATTCGCAAATCAATCGCAAGACGATGTGTAGAGGGAGCTCGCACAATTTTGCGATGCGACGTTACGTCGTATTATATCCGCCGTCTGTCTGTCCCTATGTATGCTTAGATCTTTAAAACTACGCAACGGATTTTGATGGGGTTTCTTTTAATAGATAAAGTGATTCTTAAGGAAGGTTTATATGTATAATACATGCATATTGCACCCATGTGAAGCCGGGGTGGATCTCTAGTTATTACATAAAAGAAACATTTAATTACTTACTTTTGTGAAAATAACTCTTTTTTTTCTATCACCTGTCGGCGTTTTTGGGGAGCGTTTCATTTACACCCTGTATAATGAATACTTTGACGTCACTAGTTATAAATAGTAGCGTCTTATCATAGACAAATAAACTAAATATATGCAGTATGTACAGTATCTATTTGAAGGTCTATTTATCACGGAAATGATTTAAGGCAAATATTTGGTTATTCAATGATTGCTATGTTAACCTGGTTGTGGCAAGCGCTACTTAGATCAGAAAGGACTTCTTCAAATTCTTTCTGTTTTTCAACCGATTTAAAAAAAATGGAGGAGTTTCTTAATTCGACTGTATTTTTTTCTTTTTTTATGTTTGTTACTCGATTTCTCGAAGGCTTTAAGTGTGGGAGAGCCATGCTTCGAAACGAATGGGCTGGCTCGACCGGAGTGATATCACGGCCTCACAGAAAACCGACGTGAAGCAACGCTTGCGTTGTGTTTCGTCGTATGAGTAAGGTTATCGGAGGCCCAATTACCCCCCTCCCCCTTCCCCAATCTCCCCAATCCCTGAATCCCCAACTATCCTCAAACTCCTAATCCCGAAAAGGCCGGTAACGCACTTGTAACGCCTCTGGTGTTCCAGGT